AAGTAAATCATTTTCCTAATACTGCACCCATTAATTATTAACTCATGTGTGCATACAATCTATTCCCAGGCTTAAAATATGTGCTTACTACAGAATAAGCAAATAACTCAGGTAAATATGTTTCAGTCCTGTATTGCAAAAAAGCAATTGCCCTTGCACAGCATAAACTACAGAACAATACTTAGATTGAAGTTCGGCTTAAAGAAATCATTTTCCTAATACTGCACCCATTAATTATTAACTCATGTGTGCATACAATCTATTCCCAGGCTTAAAATATGTGCTTACTACAGAATAAGCAAATAACTCAGGTAAATATGTTTCAGTCCTGTATTGCAAAAAAGCAATTGCCCTTGCACAGCATAAACTACAGAACAATACTTAGATTGAAGTTCGGCTTAAAGAAATTTGAATACTGTTCTCAAATCTTAAAAAAGAGAGAGAGAGAAATGATTCCGGGAGGTGAATTTACTGCACTAGACTCCTAAGTCATTATTAATTCAGGGCAGACACACAATTTACAGCTAGAGAGTTAGAGCATAGCAGCTCTTCAGGCAGTAGTATTATCTCCAGGAATGCAGTTGCAAAATGGACTGAGTTCATCCAAAGTATCTGAAAAGGCTAGGATCTGAATTTGATGTGAGATTACTGTTGTTGGGGTTTTTTATGGTTCACCTTGAATTTATACCACTTATGCAGAAGCGACCAACTATGTACCTCAACAGTGAATGAGATGCTAAAATATGAAAACTCAGCTACTAAGAGCTGCTGAAAGATGCTTTGCAAGCATGACTAACAATTAGTGTGAGAATTACATAGGATGGAGTAAACTACCAAACTCTAAATGCTTTGCAAAGTATGTGTGGCGCCTGTCACACATACTAAGCCTGGCAGACCTGAACGGTGTTCTAGATGTGCAGACAGAGACACAGAGAAAAACAAATCAATATCCTAATAGAAAGGATGCAAGAAAAACAACTTCCAACACTTGTGCTGGAAGTGACTAACACTACATAAAACCCTGACTCAGTGAGAATCTGCCTGCGAGTTCTTTTTTGAACTGTCAAGGTAAGAAACTAAACTCAGAAATCTTGAAGCGACCATGTTGAGAGTCCCTTATTTTGGTTCTTGCTCTACAACCAGCTATCCATTTCTTTTTAACAGTTCTTTGTGAAAAATTTATACATACCATTTGGAGTACCAAGCCGTGGTGACAGGCTCCTATCCCTTCCCAATACAATTATCTCTGCACTATGGAATAAGGGTACCTCTTGCTTTGTACCTTTCTCTCTCCTAACAAATCACAGAACAACAAAATGGCTGAGGCTGACAGAGACCTCTGGGGTCATCTGTCCAAATCCCTGCTCAAGCAGGGCCACCCAGAGCCGGTGCCCTGGGCTGGGTCCAGATGGCTGCTGAATTATCTCCAAGGATGGAGACTCCACCACCTGTCTGGGCAACCTGAGCCAGTACTTGGCCACCCTCACAGTGAAAGTGTCTCCTGATATTTGGGAGGAACCTCCTGTGTTTCAGTGTGTGCCCACTGCCTCTGGTCCTGTCACTGTGCACCACGGCAAAGAGCCTGGCTCCATCCTCTTTGCACCCTCCCTTCAGGTATTCATATACCTCTGTATTGTTTGCTGTTCAATTGCCTAGCTTCAGCATTACTGAGTGGCAAAATCATAAACTTCCTTTTAACCCATGATCAGTGTTATTTTCTAAGGTCTAGAATACTGGATTTTATTTCCATCAAATTGACAAAGCAATTAAACTCAGACCTTCTTTTTGGGGGGCAACTGTTCTAAATATTAGGCGATGGAAAACACTATCCACCGAGTATTTGCAGTAAGTCTTTTAGACTCATCATTACAGGTCAGTTGAGATACCTATTATGTGAAGCCCACAGCTTCAATGGAGAGATAATGCCAGAGTTACTAACCTCCAAAAAACCCCGTCAGGGTTACTGGGCATGCAGAGACACACATTCAGGCAACTAAGCAAAAAAGTTAGGTGCTGAGTTCTTGACTCATTATTTTGTCAGACCAGTCTTTTTTGATTCAGGCACCCAAATTCCACGTAAAACTAAGGGTGGGGATATAAATCCCTTTACGAATCTGAGCCTCACCTCTCTAAAATATGCCTAGTAACCAGAGATGTGCACTTCAGCACTGATAAACAAACACAGCAGACCACGCAAGTCCAGAGGCGCCCTGGCAATTCAATTCACTGCTGCTAAGGATCAGGCAAAAGCACTCATGAGTTTTGTTCTGGATTTTATGGTGTAATGAGCAATGGGCTGCAAGATCAACAGCATGGCTGGGGGAGAGGCCATGGCCAGCTCTTCCCTGCTCACACAGTCCAAGCAGAGCTCGCCCTGTGCAGTGGCAAAAGACCCATGGTCTGAGGGCCCTGCCAGCCAGCCCACAGTTCCCAGAGGAGAGACACATAGGACTTCAGATGACTATCCTGACCACTGCCCCTTGGGTTTATTTCCATACTTAAAATTGAGGCTGTTTGCTTTCCTATTAACTTGCCTTGATTTGCAGGTTTCCAAATTCTATGTCACCTGAAATCCTGTTCCAGGTACACCAGAAGACCAAGATTTGTTAAAATTAATTACTGGGCAACACACTCTGACCTTTGTTAGCAGAAATTCAGGCAGTTCTCAACATAAGTGGCAGGATAAACTGATGATTACTAAATGTGTTCCTCTACCCAATGCAATACACAACCTCTTAAAATCTGTAAAGGAACTGCTGGTCTACCTACCTTTTCACAGGGGAAGGTGCAATAATTCTGGTAGTTCCTTCATTTTCCCCATTTGTTGTAATCTGACTCATGTTCTTAGATCCTGGAAAACACAAACAGAACAGTCCTGTAGCACATATGCTTACAGACCTGTTCAGCATAATGACCTACTGAACACAGTGCAGCACGAGAGATAAAATGATAACCAAGACATCTGGCACATGTTCTATTTGCTAAGGGTGTAGAAGAATCACACTTTCGTGTCTTATCCTTATTTCTAGTTAGACCACATCACAACAAAGTTTAACAAGGGGGGCATTCATTACGCTTCCACATGAGACAGAGGAGTTTGAAGCTGTTGTTCTCACATACTATTCCATTGCCACCAGAAGGGACTTCCCTGCTCAGTCACCAATGAGAAGGCAGCTGTGAGGAGAACAGAGGCTATGAAAAAGCTTGGGAATCTCCAGTGTAATAACTGTGACCTCTAAAGCAATCATTAGACTAGATGGTAAAGCAAGACGAGTATGTTTGTTCTAAGAAACCATTTCAGACTGATGTAGTAACACAGAGCAACACAACATTAATATATCCTACATTACTACCAGGAAAATAATACCTGTATATCAAAGGTTTGGAAAACTAATAATGCAGACAGAGAGAGGCAATAAAGAGTAATCATAGAATCACAGAATGGTTTGGGTTGGAAGGGACCTTAACGACCATCCAGTTCCAACCCCCCTGCCATGGGCAGGGACACCTTCCACTAGACCAGGTTGCTCAAAGCCTCATCCAGCCTGGCCTTGAACACTTCCAGGGATGGGGCATCCACAGCTTCTCTGGGCAACCTGTTCCAGTGCCTCACCACCCTCTCCACGAAGAATTTCTTCCTGATATCTAATCTAAACCTCCCCACTTTCAATTTAAACCTGTTACCCCTTGTCCTGTCACTACAGGCCCTTGTAAAAAGTCCCCCCCAGCTTCCTTGTAGCCCCTTCAGGCACTGGAAGGTGCTATAAGGTCTTAATACTCTGACAGAGACCAGCACCAGTTTCAATGAGTCAAAAACTTCTGGCCAATATTCCAAAGTCATCTTCCGAGTTTCCAATTCTGTGCCCAATACTCTTTCCATTTTGATCCTGGGCTTTTTACACTGCTGGCACTTAAATCCCCACCTGAGCCATGAAAAGGAACCTGAAGAAGCAGGAGGAACATGTGCTTTCCCCTCTTTTTGAACCCCCATATAACAGGCTTCAAAGAAACAGATTTGTCTATTCATGATTTGGGAGCGCTGAGGGCCAAGGGAATCCGGGTATTTCTTACTGGGTTAACGTCAAAGTGGCGTGACAAGGTTATACTCTACAGATGTCCACAGCTCAGTATCATGAACAAAAAAAGAAATGTCTGTTCAGCTTGGTATGTAGCAATATATTAATCATCAAGACAGGTTTGTTCCTACTGGTGCTATGATTTTAGTTTCCATGCTGTGCTGTTAATGTTAATCTGTAATTTTTCTTCAGTTCACACATTCTTTTTCCATGTAAGTGGCAATTTCAGTGATTTCTTACAAAACCGTTACCATGTCCAGAAACAGGTGTTAAATAAAACAACAAAGCAACATCACTGATGATGTACATCAGCCCTGCACAGGATTCTGAGCATATTGATTCTGAGCATATTCACTGAAGGTAGCTTGTGAAGCTTGTGAGACTGATAAAAAGGAAGTACTACGTTCTCTGGGCACAAGCAACAGCAACACAGAGCTGTTAATATAGTGGTACAAACTCATAGAATCATAGAATGGTTTGGATTGGAAGGGACCTTAAAGACCATCTAGTTCCAACCCCCCTGCCATGGGCAGGGACACCTTCCACTAGACCAGGTTGCTCCAAGCCTCGTCCAGCCTGGCCTTGAACACTTCCAGGGATGGGGCATCCACAACATCTCTGGGCAACCTGTTCCAGTGCCTTTTTGTTTGGCTAAAACTAAAATGTAATGTCTTAAGCCAAGCTGTGGAGAGATTCTAAATTACAAACCTGCCCCACAATCTCAGAGAAATGATTTCTCCACCATCTCCCTCAGCTTACCATACCACCCCTCTGACATGCAAAGTCTCTGGATTACCCTCTACTTCAACACAAATACTTGAGATAGCCTAAGGGATCTTGCCTGGTCACCAATTTCCTCCCCTACAGGTGAAATCTGCTAGGCTTCTGCAAATGCCTCATATGCTGCAGAGGGTCTTGAGTGGCATTAGTTGCCTTTGCTTAAGGAACTCAGCCAAGCCCTTCACGTATTTGACCTTACCACTTTTAATGATGTACTT